TGCATGATAGATGGTTAGTGTACGGTAATTCAACACAATTAAGGATTCTACGAAATTCCTCTGCAACACATTTCCCAAAGCTTGTTACTTCTATAGTAATTTCATTTACAGTCCTGAAAGTAAGAACCCAAACAAATACAACAGAAAAAAGCGGAAAAAAGACCGTCAAATTATTTGTAACAGCCACGTTACATTTTGCCATCCATTTATTCTGGTTAGAACTATTAAGCTTCATCGCTTGACTCAATGTATTCGTCTGCTGCAATCGAAGAGATGGAACTGTAGCACACGCCTTAAAAAAAGGAAAAAATAATCGGAAAAAAAAGGGAAAAAATAATCGACAAAGGCAGGTTATGAGAACACAAAGAACAAAGGAACTGACTGCTTCATCAAACTGCCTGGTCTTTTTTTTCTTTTTTTTAGAATGACATTACCACATCAGAATGCAACATTTATTTCGTGATCTGTACGAAGCATAAGCGAATAAGTAGCAATTTTTGGTATCTGTCCTAGATAGCATGTTTCGAAATTTTCGAAAAAAAAAGCAACAATGATTAGAAAAAAAGAAACTTTAAATAGAAAAAAAAATCGACCGAGTTTTGCAAACCAAACTATCCTGATGCAATTACTAAATTTAGAGAGCCAGCTAAAGTTAAGCCAAGCATAAGATACTCCATACTCGAATCATCGTCTGCACTTGAGATGGTGTCTGTTGTCCCTTGGATACCCGCTGATTTTCACATACAATTAGTACTTCCATCGGATAGAAGTTGCTTTTCGTTTGACAACGTTCCATAATCAATGGTAACGTTGGATACTTCAGTTTCACAGAATACTTCATCTCAAAGTACTTCTCAACTGACATTTCACCAGTTCTACTCACCAACCTGGAAAGATGAGAAAAAAAAGGGCAATTGGCATAACGGTAGTATAATAAAAATGATTAGAAAATCATACTTCGATGTACGCGCATTTTCCTTCGAAACACCTCCAATAGTGAATGCACGGTTCTTACCATAATTACACCGCACGAATAATCCTGCAGTCAAACTTTCTTTAAAGTTCCACACAAAGGATTAAAAGAATAACAAGCAAGTATAAAACTCGATTCCGTGACCTAGTTTGAAAATTTACTTAGTGGCAGCAAAGCAACTTTTACTTACATACCAATACAATTAAATCATTTCTCCACAGACAACAAGTCAGTTGCATTATAAAATGAATGAATGAATGTAAAGACAGCAGGAGAAGTGAAGGTGGGCAGAAAATTTGACAATAACATAACAAGTTATTGTCTTCAAATTAACAAACTTTTACCCATGCATATCAACAGATATGGTTAACATTTATAGCCAGAAGTAATACCTTTGAGAGCTTTACTTAAAATAGCTATTGAGAGGTGATCAATACCCCGCATCAAGATAACTCTACTCCTGCGAAGGATGCATTCCACCTTCTCAAGCAAACACTGATTATCGACATGGAATGCTGCTTTCTTCACTAAAATTGACACAAATGAAAAAATAACTACAATGTTTTGTAAATTCCTACAGTTCTGCAGGACTTATATAATTACTGTCTTGCAAAGATTACAAATCAAAATTCTAGAAGAAACATATACTGCACCAACCATCGATTACCAATGCTGCATTGATGCCCCCTTCAAAGCCTCGGGGACCTTCAACAATTCTTACACCCTTTGCTGCACCCACAGCAACATATTTCCCTTCCTCTAGCTCAGGTGTATCTCTCTCTCCAAAGCCAAACTGATTTGGATACATAAGGTAGCATTCTCCTGCTCCATAACTCACAAAACGGCCCCTGGAAACAAGCATATAATCCGTAAAGGGAAAGCAATAGAAAGAAAATGGTAAAGTAACAATGATATCAGAGCTCCGAGACCGTCCGTGTCGTTATGATTTCGTGCATTTTTTCGTTATGAGTTGTTATGATTTCGTGCGTTATTTTCTAAAACTTGTCATGCATCG